AAGTCATTATAATCAGTAATTATGTCCCCACTGGATGCAACAAATGCCTCGTTTATAATGGGTTTTCATGTTTTTGAATCATCGCTCCGGCCTGACAGGGCATCATCACAATATGGTAACATTTCCGTCACACGCTTGAGGTATTCAGCCAATCACAACACACTGGATAGCTGGCCAATCAGAGCACACCTCACTTTTCAGACCGATGAGCTTTGTAAAAATCGACGCGTTTCAGAAAGGCGGGGCATAGAGGAGAAACAATAATGTACAGTATGTGGAAAATAATGTGTTTTTTTAACCTTAAACCGCATAAACACATTTCATTACACCAAATACACAAAATAATGTTCTTTTTAGCAGCATCATATGACCCTTTTAACTTATAGGATTAGTTCACTATCAGAATAAAAATGTCCTGATTATTTACTCACGCCCATGCAATCCAAGATGTTCATATCTTTCTGTCTTCAGTCGCAAAGAAATTATGGTTTTTGAGGAAAACATTCCAGGATTTTTCTCCATATAATGGACTTCAATGGGGACCAACGGACTGAAGGTCCAAATAGCTTCAAAGACTATCTATCGACTATATATTTCTTTTTGTTTTATTTCTTTTACAGTCTATGCTCTATATGAGCTAAGGCCTTGTGTAGTTTCAAGCCCATGTGTCACGTGATCAGGATCAACAGTAATGCATTTGTTTTTTTTCATATTTATGACTTTTAATTACTGTATTTCTACCAACAGTGTCATCATAAAATACAGTATGTGCAAACAGGTTATTGGTTTAAAATGAAAACAAAAATATTTAGCTTTTTGGATATATATATATATATATATATATATATCAGTACACTCTTGGCTGACAGACACAACATATGAAGAATATCAACACATCAATCATATTAATAGGAAACACACTGAACAGGAACAAAGGTGCTTGAGCTTCCCTTTTTTTCAACAGTTTCTCAAGATGTAAACGCTCTTCTGTGACCCAGCAATCAGGCACTATTTACACTCCAGCCACGTGTTAAGGCAACTTTCACCATCCATGCAGCAGCGGTAAGAACCGGAAGTGTGCGTCACTTTTTAAAGGTTAACAAAGAGTCCAGCGCTTCTCCTCATTTATTAACATGCAATGTGTTTCCTCAGGGATTTTTGGTGAGCAAAGACTAGTGTAAAGACAAATAACAGACTACCTTTAAAAACAGAAGGTGTTAAAATGTCATATTTAAACATGCAAAATATTACATTAACATCATCCAAATAAAAAATGTAAATCTCATGAAAATACATCTAGGACACATATCACCTTGATAACAAAAAGAAAAAAAATGAAGCATATTTTTAGATATGAAAACTTTCCCTACCATAATGCATCTGGATAATTCCCAATTGCTCTATTACATGATTGTTTTGTTTTTATTTTTCTCAATGCAAAATATAACTTCTTATTTTTTTTTCTTTTAATTTCAGTGATGAAATCTATGGAAGCTTGTTTCCTCGGGATAAAAAAAAAAAAAAGTAATTGTGACTATATTTCGTAGTTCTGAGTTTTTCTCACAATTTAGACTTTTTTCTTGCAATTCAGAATTGTGAGAAAAAAATCTGAATTTCCAAGATATAAACTTTGGACTCTGCAAATTGTGCGATATAAACTCAGAATAGCAAGATATAAACAGAATAAGATATAAGTGCAGAATTGCAAGATATAAATGCAAAATTGCGTGATATAAACTAAAAATTCTGAGAAGAAAAGTCAGAATTGAGAGTCACAATTACCTTTTTTTTTTTTTTTTATCCCGTGGCAGAAACAAGTTTCAATAAAAATCTGTGAGATTCTCCATAACAACATACTCTTCATATCCATCAGACACTTACAAAACATCACAGAAAACATCATAAAAAGCAGAAATAAAATCTCTCAGTTTCAGAATATCCCTCAGTTTTCTTTTCTATTGGTCCATTAAAGCATAAATCCAGCGAATCTTCTCTTTTTCGGAAAAAGAAACCAGGAAAATAAGTTGCAGGATCATCTGGTCAGTTATTTCATGTAGTAAAAAGTTAAATGATTCGATGTGTTTCCTTTACAAAACAATTAATTTGGTCCTTTTATTTCTAATTATTGTGATATAGCACAATTCCTCGGACACACTGGAGACGCGGTGAGGACGACTGTGCTCTAGTGTCCTGAGTGAAGCACCTGTGTGTGTGTGTGTGTGTGTGTGTGTGTGCGTGTACGGTTGAGGCGTGTCACGTGGTCACTCGCAGGCTAGTTTGCTGTCGAAGCTGGACAGGCCGATAGAAAAGGCCTGCAGGGCGCACATGGGGTAGTTAAAGTCCAGAGTGAAGATGTCCTCCGCCACACGACCAAACTGCATCACGATGTAGTCAGCTGCAAACACACCAACACACAATCACAACAACAGAACAAAATCAAAGGCAAACCTTAAATGTTGAGCAGGAGAAACCTACCTGGAAAGTCAAATTACATGAAGAAGGCAATATATGATAGATTAGATTTATTCATTTAAATTTTATATATATATATATATACTTTTTTTGCTCTTTTTAATTGTAATTTTGTACAAAGTTCTTATAAAATTAAATATATATATATATTTTTTTTTAATTATTAAAAAAAGCTTTAACTTATTTTATTTCAGCTAGTTGCCAACATTTCTTAATTTCATTTAGTTTAATGTGATGTTCTAAAATAACTATAACTAAAAATTAAATACAAATTTATAAAAACTAAAAATAGACATTAAAAAAATAAAATAACAAATATATAAAATAATAAACATTACTAAAACAACTTTAAAATTACCGATATTTCAACTAAATTAAAATAAAAAATAGAATAAAGAAAATATGAAAATAAAAAGGAAACATTTCTCATTTACTTTGACTTGTTGTACTAAAATAACTAAAACTGAAATAAAAATTATATACATATTAGAAAAATAACAAAAAATTAAAATGACTAAAACAACTTAAATTACTAATACTACAACTAAAATTAAAATTAAAATAGAAAATAAAGAGGCAATATTTCTCGTTTTCATTTAGTTTAACGTGATTTACGAAAATAACTAAAACTGAAATATAAGGAAATAAAAACTGGAACTTTTTTTTTATGAAAAATGACTACAACAACTTCAAAATTACTAACACTTCAAATAAAATTAAAAAGAAAACAGAAAAAAAAACGAATTCAAAATATTATCTATACGTGGTACAAAAGTAACAAACTAAAACTAAAATAAAAAGTAATAAAAATTATATAAAATAAAAAAATTACTACAACAACTTTAAAATTACTAACATTTCAACTAACATTAAAATGAAAACAGAAAATATAAAAAGAAAAATCTATATTTTGAATATGATATCAAAATATTTCTCATAAAAATACATCTATATATATATATATATATACACACACACACACACACACACATATTATATGTGAGCCTGGAGCACAAAAGCAGTGTTGAGTCGCTGGGGGATATTTGTAGCAATAGACAACAATACATTGTATGGATCAAAATTATACATTTTTCTTTTATGCCAAAAATCATTAGGATATTAAGTAAAGATCATGTTTCATGAAGATATTTTGTACATTTCCTACCATAAATATATCAAAACTTAATGTTTGATTAGTAATATGCATTGCTAAGAACTTAATTTGAACAACTTTAAAGATGATTTTCTCAATATTTAGATTTTTTTGCATCCTCAGATTCCAGATTTTCAAATAGTTGTATCTCAGCCAAATATTGTCCTATCCTAACAAACCACACATCAATGGAAGCTTATTTATTCAGCTTTCAGATGATGTATAAATTGGCCCTTATGACTGGTTTTGTGGTCCAGGATCATATATATATATATATATACTGTATGTATATATGTATAGGTGTGTATATATTTCACACTGGCTGACGTGTGACAGATCTGAGGTAACTTACGGTCGTTGTCGTGGACGATCTGGAAGTTCTTGACGGAGGCCTGCGTGACTCTGCCGTGGAAGTTCAGCACGTAGGACTGCGTGTCGTCGTTCCACACCGGCGCTTTATTATGCAGCTCGATCAGATTCTCCAGCGAGTGATTCTGCCATTTACTCAGCAGAGACTCCTGCTCCTGAAACACACACGCGTTCATGCATCAGCAGCTGCGCTCATCCTAATGATTTGATTGACAGCTGCGAGCGGAGACACTCACACACGCGGGCCGAACCGGAACCCGCTCGAAGTTCATGTTCATGCCAGGAATGACGACGGTCATCTTCCGCGGCCCTTTGAAGCCCAGAACATTGGTCTCCTAAAAACACAAACACACACAGCAATAAGAAATGGGCAAAAACAGTCAGAAACCGAGAGGAACAGAGACACACTGACGTAGCAGATGGCGGCGAGCTCCTGCCGTGTGTTGGTTTCCTCCAGCAGCGCTCCGGGGGTTTTCGAGGGATTCGTGCCGTTATCATACACAGTAAACTTGGTTCCCATCAGATTAGACCTGCGGTGAACACTGAACATCATCAACTCCTGATCTACGGACAGCATCCGAGGCAGAACATCAGCTCAATCAAAATGTGTTTTCAGTCGTGGAGTTGGGCAGCGAAGGGTTAAAAGGACAAATGTGAAGCCTGTGATTTTAATAAATGAAATTAAATTAAATGTATGCATTTAGCAGACGCTTTTATCCAAAGCGACTTACAGTGCATTCAAGCTATACATTTTTTATCAGTATGTGTAATAAAGCACATTAATTATTCAGTAAAAAATATACACAATGTCGCCAATTTTAGACGCCATCCTAAAATTCAAAAGGCAGCTATATATTTTCATGTTTAAAGATTTATACTGTGAAAATAATCATATTAGAAATGTGTAAAATGTTATTTAGAAAATATTTAGTACCTATTACATTAAATTACTACATATTTTCTACTTAGATGTATTATTATATTTTTATTTTAACCTATTTTTTATTGTTTACTGAAATCTATCATTATTTATTTACTTTTTTTATTTAAATATACATTTAAATTTTTTATTTTAACATTTTGTATTACTTTTATTATTTGTTACATTTTTATTTTAATCAAATTGTTATTTATTTAAAAAATATATTATTATGTTATTCTAATACATTTTTGATTATTAATTTATTTTAATACAATTATTATTTAATAGTGCTGTCAAAAGATTAATCCAAAATAAAAGTTTTTGTTTACATAATACATGTGTGTGTACTGTGTATATTTATTATGTTTATATAAATACACACACATACAGTATATATATTGAAAATATGTACATGTATATATTTATATTCATAAAATCTATATTATATATAAATATATTTAATATATAAACATAGCATATATTTCTGAAATATATACACGCATGTGTGTGTATTTATATATTCATAATAAATATACACAGTACACACACATATATTATGTAAACAAAAAAAATTATTTTGGATGCGATTAATCACGTTTAGTCTTTTGACAGCACTATTATTTATTTATAAAATAAATAATTTATTTTAAACAATTATTTTTTATTTATGTATTTTAATCTAATTTAGTATTTTTTTTATTTAATACATTTTATTTAATTTATTATTATTTTATTAATTTATGAATTGAAATTATTTACATTTAATTTATTTATTTACATTTTGTACACTGTTTTTATTCCTAACTTTTTCACGCCCCCCCAACACTCCCTTTTATTTAGTGTCATGCTCATGTGCTTCGATTAAAAACACAGTACTGAAACCACAATTTACTCTTTAAAATAAACGGGATGAGTTGAAATAGTTTTCTGTGGTAACTGACTGAATGTCACAAACGCTGTCAATAGATCTTGTATTGAACCAGAATCATCCGATTGATCGCAAGTTCACAGTGTTAAATATGATCCGATCATTTAGAGGTTGAATCTCCTGAGACGAGATGAGTTAAAGGGTTAGTTCACCCAAAAATGAAAATTAGCCCATAAATTACTCACCCTCAAGTCATCCTAGGTGTATATGACTTTCTTCTTTCAGACGAATCCAGTCGGAGTTATATTAAAAATAGCTGTTTAATGCCACTCAGCGGGTGTTGCATGCTTCAGTCCAAAAGAAGTCAAATAAAAAGCGCCCATCCATAAAAAAAGTGCCTCACACGGCTCCGGGGGGTGAACAAAGGCCTCCTGTAGCGAATCGATGCGCTTTTGTATGAAAAATATCCATATTCAAAACATAATAATCACTTTAATGTAGCTTACGCCAGCAGTTGTACACGGAAGCAGCTCCGGGCGGATGACGTATGAGGCCGGCGCTGCGCATGCGCCGCTCAGAAGTGACGAACATGGCAAGGTCATCTTAAAGTTATGATTAAACGTTCTTCAGTAACGAGACTCACCGGCGCATGCGCAGTGCTGAACTCATACGTCATCCGCCCGGAGCTGCTTCCGTGTACAACAGTGAGCGCAAGCTGCATTAAAGTGATTATTACGTTTGAATATGGATATTTTTCTTACAAAAACGCATCGATTCGCTACAGAAGGCCGTTGTTCACCCCCCGGAGCCGTGTGAGACACTTTTTTTATGGATGGGTGCTTTTTATTTACCTTTTCTTGGACAGATGCATGCAACACCCGCTGAGTGCCATTAAACAGCTTGAAAGATCAAAGACAATTTTTTATATAACTCCGACTGGATTCGTCTGAAAGAAGAAAGTCATATACACCTAGGATGACTTGAGGGTGAGTAATTTATGGGCTAATTTTCATTTTTGGGTGAACTAACCCTTTAATACCAGACAAAAAACACCAGAGAGGCACCTCAGTTTTCCTATGAAGCTCTCGCCCTCACGGGACAGATCTGTGGCGTCTACAGAGATCAGATAGTTGGATGTTTTGCTCTTTTTCCTCTTGCGTCCGGCCAATAAGAACACCTGATGAAAGAGAGAGAGAGCGATTAAACGTGAGCAGAAGTGATTGTGAAGGATGCGTTGCATTCAGATCAGACCTTCTTGCCGTCTTCTCTCTCCAGGTGCATGAAGTACGTGGGATAGAGGCCGCGGTCCATGCCCTTCTTGTCCCGCGAGATGCGACACTTGACCGTGACTCCCCGCGGAGCCGGACGGAGCACAAACTCCTCCAGATTATCCACCTCAACGGAGGAGCCCTCAGCCGACAGAGAACCCAGCTGGAGACACTCCTGACGGGACAGAAGACAAAACACACACATTTAGTCCTCTAACAGGCATATCATTCATTATTCTCACAGGGTGCAATCTCTGTCTCTGAGAACATGAGGAAAGTTCACAAACTGAATGAAATCCCATATCCCAGTTTAATATTCAGAGTTTAATGGACTCTATGCACAATCGCTTCCGCTTTTAGGACGCTGCAACTTCCAATGCAGCGCAGTGTATGGAAATTCTGAGAAAATGAAGCACAAAATGAAACCTTGAGGCAGTGTTACACAACAGGACCAAGCAATATTGATATGGTTCACCATTATTAAGGTGTTTTTATTTATTTATTCCAATTTTTAATTATTATTCATTTATTTTAAATCTCTTTTTTTATTATTTACTTAGTTTTATCTATTTATATTTTAAACAAATAGATAATTTAATTGTATATTTAGATTTTTTATCTATTATTTATTTCAATTGTTACATAATATTTTAAATCTTTTTTGAAATATTTTATTATTTTAATTATTTTAATAAAATTAGTATTATTTATTAATCAATTTATTTATTTTAATTTAATTGTATTTATATTTTTAATCTAATGTTTTAGTATTTATTAATTTATTTTAATTAAATTTGTATTCTTTGTAATTTTTAATCTAACATTTATTTATTTAATTTTTTTTCATTATTTATTTTTTATTTTAATCTATTTTCACATTATTTATTTATTTATTTTAATCATTTTTTATATTTTATTATTTTAATATTTTTTCATTATTTATTTATTTTAATCTACTTTTATTATTTATTTATTTTAAGCTATTTTCCCATTGTTTATTTATTTTAATCAATTTATTTTATATTTAAGTATATTTTTAATGTTTTATATTTTTTTTATTTTGATTAGAAAAACAAAATGATATTTTTTTTATTTCGTTTTTTATTTAAAGCTTCTGTAATTCACTGAAACATTGCGGTTTAATATAATACACTAAAATGTTATGTTTACTATAGTTACTAATATATATACAGTGGGGCAAAAAAGTATTTAGTCAGCCACCAATTGTGCAAGTTCTCCCACTTAAAAAGATGAGAGAGGCCTGTAATTTTCATCATAGGTATACCTCAACTATGAGAGACAAAATGAGAAAAAAAATCCAGAAAATCACATTGTAGGATTTTTAAAGAATTAATTGGTAAATTCCTCTTTTTTTCCCCACTGTAATATACTATATTGTAATTATTTGTAAATTGACAGTTATATGATAAGACCGAAAGAGTTTGCTACAGTTTGCTGTAAGACAACACTATAGCAATGCTTGCGGAGCACTGAGAGTTTAGCAGAAATACGCAGACACTTAAGAGTCCATTTGCCCAAGACGGTGTGACTCTGTTTGTGTGGAGGTTGTTGTGTCTGTCTGACCGTGGTGGATTTGGTGCTGGAGGCCGACGCAGGACGAGTGCTCTCTGTGTTCGGCTCTTCAGCTTCATCATCATCATCATCATCCTCACTGGCCTCGTCGTAGTTCATGCTGCCAGAAAGTCCTGAGAGAAACAGAGTTTAAAGAGCTGGAGATGAGAAACAACAGCTGCTGCACTGAGACGAGGACTGCCATTTACACACAGCCTCCTGAGACACACACACTCACACTCACACACACACACTCACACTCACACTCACACACACACACACACACACTCTTCAGCATCACACACACGTTGTCAGTATAAAAGACATCTGTCCACAACCTCAAACAGTCACACTCCAAACTCCACCATGGCCAAGACCAAAGAGCTGTCAAAGGACACCAGAAACAAAATTGTAGACTTGCACCAGGCTGGGAAGACTGAATCTGCAATAGGTAAGCAGCTTGGTGTGAAGAAATCAACTGTGGGAGCACTTATTAGAAAATGGAAGACATACAAGACCACTGATAATCTCCCTTGATCTGGGGCTCCACGCAAGATCTCACCCTGTGGGGTCAAAATGATCACAAGAACTGTGAGCAAAAATCCCAGAACCACACGGGGGGACCTAGTGAATGACCTGCAGAGAGCTGGGACCAAAGTAACAAAGGCTACATCAGTAACACACTGCGCTGCCAGGGACTCAAATCCTGCAGTGCCAGATGTGTCCCCCTGCTTAAGCCAGTACATGTCCAGGCCCGTCTGAAGTTTGCTAGAGAGCATTTGGATGATCCAGAAGAGGATTGGGAGAATGTCATATGGTCAGATGAAACCAAAATATAACTTTTTGGTAAAAACTCAACTTGTCGTGTTTGGAGGAGAAAGAATGCTGAGTTGCATCCAAAGAACACCATACCTACTGTGAAGCATGGGGGTGGAAACATCATGCTTTGGGGCTGTTTTTCTGCAAAGGGACCAGGACGACTGATCTGTGTAAACGAAAGAATGAATGGGGCCATGTATCGTGAGATTTTGAGTGAAAACCTCCTTCCATCAGCAAGGGCATTGAAGATGAAACGTGGCTGGGTCTTTCAGCATGACAATGATCCCAAACACATCGCCCGGGCAATGAAGGAGTGGCTTCGTAAGAAGCATTTCAAGGTCCTGGAGTGGCCTAGCCAGTCTCCAGATCTCAACCCCATAGAAAATCTTTGGAGGGAGTTGAAAATCCGTGTTGCCCAGCGACAGCCCCAAAACATTACTGCTCTTGAGGAATGGGCCAAAATACCAGCAACAGTGTGTGACAACCTTGTGAAGACTTACAGAAAACGTTTGACCTCTGTCATTGCCAACAAAGGGTATATTATAACAAAGTATTGA